CAATATTATTATTTTGAATAATTTCTTCAAGAAAATTTTGTATTTGGTTAAGTTTTTCTTGTAATTCCATTGTAATAACAGAATAGCAGCATAAAAAGAAATAGCAAAAATTGTAAAAAAAAACTGTGTAAAAAATAGCAAAAAATAACAGTGTAAAAAATCAGCGTAAAAAAATCAGCGTAAAAAAATAGTGTAAAAATAGCGTAGCGTTATATATATAGATTCAATATTTGTTTTTGTTTACATCTTTTGAAGATAATCACATGAATTTTGAAAATTTAGCCACGTGATAACCCACGCGATAACCCATACAATCAAAAATTTGTTCTTATATTACAGATTAATAGAGCCACCTTCATGAACAAACATTCACGTGATTGGCTGATCCTATTCAATTGCCAGGTACATTATTTATATAGTTTAGAGTACTTTTTGAAATTGTAACGTTTTACATAAAAAAAAAAATAAAAAAATTTTTTCTCTAGCTTCGAAAGTGTGTTAACATTCACTGTGCAAAATAATTCCAAAAAAATCCAAAATCTAAAGGTACTTTACTTAGAGGCAAGTACTCTTAATAGAATCGTGTATAATTACAATATGCCAAATACAACAATCAATACGATGGAAAAAGGTAACTGAGTACATTATTTTGATAGGTCAAACTAATAAAACTTTACCAGGATATTTACAAATAAGTGATAAGATTTGCTTAAACTGTTATAACAGAATTGTGGTAAACTGCTCACTTGCATTCCAAAAACATGCTCTGTAATCTTTCTCTTCATCTCCAGTTCAACCTCCACCTCCACCTCCACCTCTACCTCCGGTTCAACCTTCACTACCACTACCACCTTTAGCTCTGCTACCACCACTACTTCTGCTTCAGGTGCTACTACCTTCACCTTCTATTTTATCCTTTTCTAAAGCAATAAAAATAATTACTAATATTTATACTGTGAAAAAAAGGAAAAAAAATCAGCGATATACTCATTTGATGAATTTTGTGTGGTTATAGAAGAGGAAGATGTAAGATTAAATTCATTTTTTGACAAGTTATATCTTTCTTCTAACCTTCTTCAAAAATGAAAATTCACGAGCACAGGCAAAAAAACAGCTCTTATATGTATGCTACTTTCTCTGCAAAATTTGTAACAAGTTCGTTAATGTCGCAAAGTAAGAATTGATGATGTATTTGGATTCTACTGGTATTTCTAATGCCTCCATAGATACTCTTGCTGATCTAAGTGTAACTACAACATCTCATATAATCGCGTGGCATAAAACTACCATATTTAATGATTATACTAAAACTGTTGATTCTACACTCGCAGAATATGTAGAGAAGGCAATAATATTAAATATTGATGATTATCATAGTATCCATATGAAACGGATGCTAAATACAACTACAACTTCTACTGCAGTACATTTGGCAACAATTTTAATGAACTGATCACTACACAGTATGCGATTCCAAATATAAATATACACAACCCTAGGTTAGTCGACACAGAGTTGATAAAACTGAATCTAAATAATAGATTTATGACGTTTCTCGGTCTTTCGCATAATCAACGCTAGGGATTCTGTTCAGTTAATAATAGTACTAAATTAGAAGAGCTAACTGTATATAGTTATGACACTAGATTGAAAGAAAAACAGGATGCTCGTTTAATGAAAGATATAGTCCTCATAGATTTACAAGAAAATAATCTTCATTCTTTAAATGCATATATCAAGACTATTAATGCTGTTGTAAATATTCCATCTATGCAACAATATATTCAAAAGAAATATATTATACCTGTCGTTGCTGATTGGCCTGAACAAATCTATCTTAGGACAGCCATCTCTCGTTTTATCTTATATCGTGATCGATCGAATAGGGCAGTGACAGATATTACGTAATATCATTTTATTATAAGTGCCTACCTTCCACCCTCAGGTAAGATATTCTGATCACATGTAAATCTATTAAGTCATGTGATCCTGACATTTTATTATCAAAGTCAAAGATTTTGATTAATTATACAATAAAATTAGTTTTTGATTAACTAT